CCAGGAGGTTGGTGATGTCCCCAGGAAGGTGACAATGTCCCCCGAAAGGTAGAGCTGTCCCCAGGAGGTTGGTGATGTCCCCAGGAAGGTGACAACAGCCCAGGCAAGGTAGAACCGTCCCCAGCGAGGCGGTGCCTGCACAGGAGGGTGCCAACATCCCCCTGAGGGTGCCCATGTACTCAGGAAGGTGGTGATGCCTCTGGAAAAGTGGAACTGTCCCCAGGACGGTGGTGAGGAGCCCAGGGAGGTGGCAATGCATGGAGAAGCTGTCTGTGTCCCCTGGGAGGTGGCAGTGTCACCAGGAACGCGACATCCCCGCGAGCTGTGCTGCTGGCCCTGCTGCTCTGCCCGCTCTGCCCTGGGCTCTGTTGGTGCCGGGTCCCCCGGGATCCCTGTGCTGCTGTGGGGGGACAGCCAGGGGGAAGCTTTGGGAGTGCAGGTGGCACTGGGGGGCCACGGAGGGCACAGAGGCTGGGGGGTGTCCCAGTGTCCCTTCCACAGGACCTGGCAGGACTCAGGGCTGCCTCCTGCCTTTGGGTAGCACTGGCACCGGTGTGGCTCTGCCAACGCATTGCTGTGGGCCTGGCAGGGCACCCTGGCATGGGTGCAGCCCTGGCATCACACCTGGCATCACCTCTGGCTCAGGTGCAGCTCCCCTGTGCCACGGTGGGACAAGATCCTGAGTCACATCCTGAGCAACATCCCTGAGAAATATCCCTGGGCATCATCCCTGGACAATGTCCCTGAGAAATATCCCTGGGCAATGTCCCTGTGAAATGTCCCTGAGCTGGGCAGGAGTGGCAGAGGTGCTTCTTCTGTCCGAGGGGGTTGCTCTGCTCTCAGGAAGGGACACGGTGACACCGCCTGCCTGTGGCTGTGCTGTCCCTGTCACTTCCCACGTGCAGCCTCACCCTGAGGGTCCCCTGCGAGAGGGGACAGCGGTGTCACCCGCGCTCGGTGGCACAGAGCTTCGAGGGACACGGCCAGTGTGTGGGGACAGCTGGTGTCACCGCCCTGGCTCGGGCGGGGCGCACAGAGCAGAGGGCGGTGCTGACACCCCGGTGGTGGCAGTAGCGCGGTGCCAGCCCCGGCGGTGTCCCCAGCACCGTGCCCTCCCGTGCCCTCCCGCAGGTCTGCTCCGTTTTGAGGTCCCCTCCCTCCACGTGTCCCCGGACGCCGCCCTGTGCCGGGACCCGCCCGAGGCAGCTCAGAGACTCTCGGGGCCGAGCCTGACCCCGCGGCAGGAGGAGGAGGAGGAGGAATCGGAGAGCACAGCCCTATGACAGTGTCCCTGTCCCCAAGCTCATCCGTGCGGCACGCGGGGCCAGCACCGGCCACCGGCACCGAGGGCCACGCGCCACTTTTGGGCGGCAAAGCGCCCGGTTTGGGGGCGGCCGCTGTTCTTTAGTTCATTTTTGTTCGCCTTATCCAGACTTTGCCTTCGAACCGGGTGCCTGCCCCCCGCCCCGCAGCACCCACGACCCTGGGGCGATGCCACCACGTCCTCCGTGCCCCGCGGTGGGTGCCACTGGGTGCTGGCCAGGTGACAAGGAGCTCGCTGGCGCTTTGCAGTGGGATTTCCTTTCTTTGGCTTCTTCCCCCTCCGCTTGTCTGGGAGCAGGATGGGACCTGACCAGCAATAACCTGGGGATGCAGGATGTGCCCCCCCACTCTCGGGGTGCTGGCAGGGGAGGTGCACGCCCCTCGGCACCTGCTGTCCCTGGGGCTTGGTGGCTTTGGTCGTGCATGCACAGACAAATTAACCTTTTATCCTTTCCAGAGAGAGAAGATCTGTATATATATATCGGCAGATATATATATATATATTCTATATTTGTATAGAGAGAGAGAAATTATAGAGAGATTTGTTTTATCTGGAGCCATTCCTGCCTGGTCGGGGCGAGAGGGAGATGGAAATGGCAGCGCTTCGCCCCCGCCCCGCTCGCACCGTGCCCCCCGCCCCAGGTGGGCACCGGGGGGGGCACCAGCACCCCAAAGCAATCAATAAATCCAATAAATCCGTGTGCCACTCGCTGAGAACTGCCCGGCGGCGCTGGCCTTTCCTTCCTGCCCCGGCCTTGGGGGGAGCAATGGGAGGTGGAGAGCGTTTGGCTGATAAAACGGTGGTTTGGTGTTTTATCAGGGACATTATGGGCCAGGTGCCATGGGATGGGGCAGGGTCCGCCTCCCCCAGAAACAGCCGCCCCACACGGCAGAATCCAGCCAGGACTGACCCCTGATCCCGGGCCGGTCCCCACTGCAGGAGCAGAACCACCCCCAAGGGACACAGAGCCCTTTTCCCCTGGGATGGACACTGGGCTTGTTTCACGTGTCTTTAATAGAAACCGCCGGCGGTGGGGGAGAGCCCCGTACAAAACTTGGCTGCAGGAATCGGGGATTGCATAGACCGAGGTGTGGGGAGGTGTGGGGGACCCCCCACCCCCAAATAGTCGCCTTTTAGAAAACAAAAAGCGTCTCTGAATAAAACTCTCCTGGTACAATAAATACTCTGGTGCTGCAGAGCTGGGGACCATGCACCCGCCTGCCCTGTTTGGGATGGCCCCGCGCTGGGAGACTCCAGGGTTCAGAGCCACCACTTTGGGATGAGCCCACTTTGGGATGAGCCCACTTTGGCATGAGCCCGGGTCTGAAACCCCCGGCTAGGGATGGTCCCGGTTTGGAATGCTTCTGGATCAGGGTCTGGGGTGCCCTGGGTCAGGCAGCAGCCCCCATGCAGGATTCCATTTGGGAGCACCTGGGTCAGGATAGCCTGGCTTGGTTTTCCCTGGGCTCGGAAGTGCCTGGGCTGGGAGCCCCCAGGTCGGGACGCCCTCGGCCGGGATGTGCTGGTTTGGGATCCCTGGCTCAGGCACCCTTGCGGTGGGACACCCGGCGCGGGGCGCTCCCCTTTCCGCTCGGGACCAGCTGCAGAGCTGCCGGGGCGGTGCCCCCAGCGTGGCTCAGAAGCTGGACTCGGGCACGGCCGCGGGGCGCAGGGGCCCGGGGAGCTGCCGGCCGCGCTGCGGGGCGGCCCCGGGGGGAGCCCGGGCCGGGGCCGGCCCCGCCGCGCCCCTGCCCAGCGAGGCGGACCGGCGCAGCCCCGCCTCGGGCCGAGGGGGGAGGCTGGCCGAGCTCCGCGACCGCCCCAGCGCCGAGGGGCCGGGGGGGCAGCGGCCCGGGGGGACACCCGCGTCCCCCCGCGGCCCCTCGGGGCTGCCGGGGCCCGGCGGCGGCCGGCGCGGGGTCCCCTCGGCGCTGGCGGCGCGGCGGAGCCGTCGGGGGCGGCCCGGCTCCCCCTGTCCCGGGGGTGCGGTCCGGACGCTGAGGCTGCGAGCGGGCAGCCCCTGCAGCCCCCGCACCGGGGGCCGCGCCTCGAACCCGCCTGCGGGGAAAGCGCGGTCAGGGCGGGCGGGGGGCGCGGGGGGCGCATCCTGAGCGGATGGAGTGTCCTGAGCCTCACCGTTCTCCGCGGCGCCGGCGTAGCCCGAGGGCTCGGGCTCGGGCTCGGTGCGGGGCTCGGCGGCGGCCAGGCGGAACACCCAGTGCCCTGCGGGGAGCGGCGGGCGTGGGCCGGGCTGGGGCAGGGTGGGACCGGGCCCGCACCCGCGCAGGGGTGGTGCGGCAGCTCTGTGCGCACACGTGTGCAGGGGGCACACGCAGGGCTGAGCGTGACCCCACGGCAGTGCCGGGGCGCGGGGATCGGGGGCTTACCCGTGCCGGAGGCGGCGGCGCGGCGGCGCTGGTAGAAGAGGATGTAGGCGCTGCGGGTGCTCACCTCGGCCTCCCGCACCCCCTCCACCCGGCTGTCGTCGTAGCTGTACCAGCGCCCGTCCAGGGCGTTGCAGCAGAACGCTGGGGGCGAGGGGGCGCGGGGTGAGCGGGGACCGGGGCTCTGTCCCGGGATGCCCCGACCCCCGGGGTGCAGGGGCGAACAGGAGCCCCACGGTGCGGGGACACACTGGGGCAGCGGGATGGTGCTGGAGGACACATCCCGGTGCCCTGCCTGCCCTGGGGCGCCTGCAATGCCATCCTGAATGTCCCCTCACCCTGGCTCCCCTCTGCCCTGCCCCGTGGCACCCCCGTGGCACCCCCCGTCCCCCGTGTCCCCGCTCACCGGTGTAGTGGCCGCCCTGCATGCTGCCGTGGTGGTTGCAGACTGCGTACAGGTCGTACAGGTGGTCGCGGGGGCAGCCCGGGGGCAGGCGCAGGGGGGGCTGCCAGGGTGCCCAGCGCCCCAGGAGCTGCACCCCGGGCTGGCCCCGCTGCGCCACGTGCGGGGCCATGTCCAGCCCCCGCAGCGGGAACCTCACCAGCGTGGTCAGCTTGTGCCGCTGCTCGGCCACCTGCCGGAAGCGCTTCAGGTGGATGATGAGGATGTCGGGCAGCGTCCACAGGCTGAGCTTCACCGTGCCCTGCTGGGGCACCTTGCAGTGCGGGCAGCGCCAGGCATCGTCCGGGGCCAGCTGAGGACACCACATCATGGCCACCTCCCTCTCTGTCACCCCTGCCGCCTCACAGCCAGCTCCAGCGCCCCTGTGCCGGGGTGGGCAGGGCGCGGGCCTGCCCGGGGGTGCCCGTACCTGCTCCTCCTTGGTGTAGAGCTGGAAGCACTCGTCCAGGGTGCAGCTGTGCTGCTGCCCGTGCGCCTGCTGCTGCTGCCACACGCTGTCAGCGTCCTGCACCGCCTCCTCCTGGATGCTCCCGAACAGCCTGGGGGGACGCGTCACCAGAGAGGCTGCCCGAGTGCCGGGCGTCCCCCCAGCCCGGGCGCGGGGCACTCACCGCTCTTTGGTGCCCGTGTCCCACTCCGCCGTCAGCCTCACGTGGGGAGGGCCCCCGGCCCCGCACAGCTGCAGGGCCCTGAGGGGAGGACAGGGAGAAATGTCCCCAGAGCCCCTGGCCCCGTGGGGACACCTCCTTGCCAGCCTGTGGTGGCAGGCAGGGACAGCCACCACCTCCCTCAGTGGGAATGCTGGGCCGGGGACCCAGTGCTGGGGCAGCTGTGACCACCACTGCGGCTACCCAAAGTGTCACCCATGGCTGGCCACCCACGGTGACAACACAGCCGTGCACAGGGATGCTGTGCCCACTCATGGTGATGCCACTGGCCGCCCCCAGGGGTTGAGGGGACGTCCCGGGGACAGTCCTGTCCCTGCAGCCCCTTACCTGTCGATGGCAGGGTGGCAGAGGGGACGGGGATCCTGAGGGGACAGGTAGGTGCAGGGGGCCGAGCCCCCGGCCAGGCGGATCCGGAAAAGGGCCCCCGTGCCCTGTGAGGGGAGAGGCGGCTGTGGGGTCACCGGGGGACAGGGATCCCCTGCCCAGCAGCAGCACCCGGCCAAGCCAGGATTTGGGACACGGGACAAAGACAGGCCCAAAATCTGATGGCTTTCAGGGCACAGGGTCGTTCCCTGGGCTCACCTGTGGCCGGACCTCTCCCCGCAGGACCCCCCTGAGCTGGGCCAGGATGTTCTGCTGCAGCTGCTCCCAGGAGACGCCGCGCTCCTCCCGCAGCACCAGCGGCGGCCCGAACCTGGGCACACGAGGCTGGGTGTCACAGGGACGGGGGGTGGGTAGGACAGGGTGGCAGGCGGGTGGCAGGGGGGTGGCAGGAGGTGGCACACAGGCGGCAGTACCTGGCGAGCTGCGGGCCCGTGCCCGCCGTGTTGCAGAGCAGCAGCAGGATGCGGCCGCCGGGCGCGCGGTGCAGGCAGTCGGAGGAGCGGGCGGCGCTGGGCAGCAGCCTCGGCCCCTCGGGCCGCGGCGCCGCGGGGGACGTGGGGAGGCTGCGGGGACACCCTGGGGCCGGGAAGCGAGGGGCTCTATTAGCGCTGCGTTAATTAGTGCCACGGCCCCGCCCAGCACCGCTGTTCCCATCACTGCCGGTGGGTGCAGCTGCCTCTGACCAGGACCCACTGCCCCACCAACCCCAACGAGGGGATCCTCCACCTCCCACCAGTCCCAGTGAGGGATCCACTCCTTCCCACCAGTCCCAGTGAGGGATCCACTCTCTTCCACCGATCCCAGCACACCGCGGCCGCTGGCACGGCCGTACCTGCGCGGCGGGCGGGCGGCGGCTGGAAGGCGTAGACGGGCGCGGCCTCGCCGGCCGCCCGCAGCGCCTCGGGGTCGGACAGCGAGCGCAGGAGGCCCCGCGGGGACACCTCGGCCAGGATCACCTGCGGGACCGCCGCGGGCGCTCAGCACCGCGCGGCCGGCCCCGGCCCCGGTGCCCGCCCCGGTGCCCGCCCCGGTACCTGCTCGGCCGGGACGCGGCCGTGCCGCGCCACCATCTCCCGCAGGTCGGCCACGGTGCCCAGCAGCGGCACGGCCAGCCCCACCCGCACGAAGCGCCAGCGCTCGCACTGCAGCACCAGCGTGACGTTCAGAGCCCTGGGGACAGGCGGGACACAGCTCAGCGCGGCGAACACCCGCCGCCACCGCCGCCACCGCCGCCGGGGCTGCCGCCGCCTCCCGCCTTCCTTATCTGCCCCAAAAAATGCAAACTGCCGTCCCGCCGGGCGCGCGTGGCCTCACCTGGTCTGGCGCAGCGGGATGGGCAGGGAGATGCACAGGAAGGGGTCGAAGGTGTTGCTCTGCTTCAGGCAGTGAGGGCACGTCAGGGAGGACCTGGCAAATGGATGGGCAGGGTCAGCGGAGCGGGCACGGCCCCCCGAGAGCCCACCCTGGGGCTGATCCCAGGTACCACACGCCAAATCCATCATCCCAGGTACCACACACCAAATCTGTCATCCCACATACCCCATTCCAAATCCGACATCCCAGGTACCACATCCCAAATCCGACATCCCAGGTACCACACCCCAAATCTGTCATCCCAGGTACCACATCCCAAATCCATCATCCCTGGTACCCTGGTACCTACTGCTGATTCTCCTTAATTCTGTTTTTTAAGGATTTTTTTTGCTTTTGCTTCTGTTTGGGTTTTTTTATTTGTTTGTTTGTTTGTTTGTTTGTTTTGTGGGGGGGGGGATTTTTCCCCCGCCTTTTTTCTTAAACGAAAAGGGAAAAAGTAAATGAAAATCCAAAGCAAAGTCCTGGGTCCTCGTTATTTGTCACCTTGAATAGCCACTGAGCTCCCTGGGAAACAGCCACACAAATTAATAAATCCTTCAGCGCACAGACGGCTCCGGCACGTGGAACAGGGATAATTAAAGCGCCCTTTTTCATATATAGGACGAGGGATTAATTGAGAGAGGAGGAAGGGCTTGTGACCCAGATGTGTCCCCTGCTGCCTGCAGTGCCGTGCCTTGGGGACAGGGTGGCCTGAGCATCCCACGAGTCCCGGCCAGAGGAATGTGTGGGGTGTCCCACAGCAGGGCACCTCGTGCTGGGGTGCTGGGACAACCCCGAGTGCTGTGGCAGGAGCACAGCGTGGTCTGGGTTGTCAGGGACCTTCAGAGGGCACCGTGGGCAGGGACACCAACGTGGGCAGGGACATGGCTGTGGTCAGCGACACTGCTGTGGGCAGGGACACCGCCACTGGAGCTGGTCACTGTCCCTGTCCAGCCTGGCCTTGGACATTTTCAACTGCTTGTAGGGCAAGAAGGTCCCATGGCTGGGATGGGTGGATGGATGGATGGATGGATGGATGGATGGATGGATGGATGGATGGATGGATAGATGGGTGGATGGATGGATGGATGGATGGATGGATGGATGGATGATGGACGGATGGACGGATGGATGGATGATGGATGGATGATGGATGGATAGAGATCCTTGCAGTTTCATCCCTTCCCTGGGCTCACAGTGCCCACCCAGTGCTCGCAGAAGGGCAAAGCCCCCGTGGGCAGGATCCGTGCCCCCACTGACCTGTACTGGGCCTGGAAGTGGCTCTGCACGAAGCTCTGCCCCTGCGGGTGCTGGCTGCCTGGGGGAGACCTGCTGGCACCGCTGCTCCCATCCTTGCCAGGCTGCAGGGGCAAGAGGCGAGTGGTGAGTGAGGTGACAGGGTGAGGGACGTGTCCCTCAGGGTGTCAGGGACACGTCCTAGTGAACCAAGCCCGGCTTTGGCGTCCCTACGGCACGAGGATGAAGGTGATGCCAAAGAGACTCTGGCACCTGCATGCCTGGCACTGCCCTCCAGGCAGCATCAGTAAAAAAACCTGGGCTGTTTTGGGGTAAGACAGTGACTTTCTGGTATCTCGATGAGTAAGACTGAAAATCACTGAGGATTTTCGCCAAGAGGTGGATTTTCCTGAATGCCATCTGCTGGCACCAGGTCCTGCTGGGCCTGACGTGTCCTGACGGTCTGCCTGGCACTGGGGTCCATCTGGTGTGGCTGAGAGGGGACCTGGATGGTATCTGTGCCCTACAGGGCCCCCAGAATTCCCCAGAAATCCAGGAGGTGCCTCCAGCCCTCCTGGCAGCCGAGCCTTGTCCCTGGTGGCAATGCCAAAAGGGACAAAAACTGAGGGATGCCAGGCAAAACCACGGGTGCTGAGGGACACAAAGGGTCCCCTCCAGCACCTGGGAGGTCCTTGGCCATGGCCGTGCCACCAGCTCCAGGTGGCACAGGCGATGTCACAGCACAGCTCAAGGCACACGTGGGCACCTGACGTTCAACGGGAGCTGCCGGGCTCTCCCAAAAAGCCTGGGGCATCCAAATGGCTCCCGGGAAAGGCGGCAGGGCCGAGGCCAGCTCAGCTCCGTGCAGGGATGGCTGCAGGGCCCTGGGCAGGCGGCACAGCCTCGCCAGGGATGGGCACCACAGCCGAGCTCTCCCTGTGGGACAGAGCTGTGCTGGAGGCTGGCAGGGTCTGCCCAGGACCCCCACCCAGGGCACAGCCACGGCACCCCCAAACTGGGCACGGGGACGGGGAGCTGCTCCCAGGTCCCTGTGACCAGGATGGGTGTCACCCCGAAGCAGGAACAGCTCAGCGCTGGGCCGGGAGTCACCCCCAGAGTGGGGACATCTCCCTGCTGGGCCGGGAGTCACCCCCAGAGTGGGGACAGCTCCCTGCTGGGCCGGGTGTCACCCCAGAGTGGGGACAGCTCCCTGCTGGGCCGGGTGTCACCCCCAGAGTGGGGACAGCTCGCGGCTGGGCCGGGTGTCACCCCCAGAGTGGGGACAGCTCGCGGCTGAGTTGAGCTCATGGGTCAAACGGCAACAGCTCAAATCCATCTCCTGCAACAGCGGCGCCCGGCGGGAGCAGCAGGCGGGGAGGGAGGTGGCAGGAGGAGGCAGGAGGAGGCAGGAGGAGGCAGGAGGAGGCAGGGAGGACCAGGGCCAGGGCCAGGGCCAGGGCAATGCCTGAGCGCAGATGGATTGAGGAAGACTTAATTACTCATTTTGCCAGCAGCAAAGCCGCCGAGCTGTAATTACAGCGGGCTTAGCTGGAGGCAGGGAAGGACGGGGGCGGGGGGAGCTGCATCTCCTCCTCACCAAGGACCAGGATGCCCCCCAGAGCCGGGATGCTCTGCTGGATGGGCTCCTGCCGACACCCCCGCTCTCCCAGCACTCCAGCCCCTGCCCAGCCCCGCAGCACTCGGCTCCCACCACCCTTTTACCCGCGCACGGAGCGAGCCGCAGCATCCCCATCCCCACCGGGGCGGGGCCCAGCTCCATCCACCCCCGGCACCACATCCCGGCGCCCCTGGTCCCAGACCTGGCCCGAGCGCCTCCCCCCAGCCGGGGGCACCCACCTGCGTGGGGCCGCGGCTCTGCTGGGCGGGGGAGGCGGCGCCCAGGTCCTCGTGCATTCGGTCCAGCAGCCAGAGCAGGAACTCGAGCGCGTCGTGCTGAGCGTTGCCCCGGAACTGCGAGCTGTGCTTGGAGACGATGTTCTGCAAGACACGGGTGTGGCAGGCGCTGATGAACGGGTTCTTGCTCAGCACCCACCCCAAAACCATCCCTGCTCCATCCCTGCAACAGCCTCTGCCTTCGTCCTGCCTCTGCAGGGCCATCAGGGCGGGGGGGACACCGAGCACGCAGCTGAGACAGAGGCTCTGTGGTGTCCCAGCTTCCAGCGGCCAGGAGGGGACACAGGGAAAACCGCAATGAAGTCCAGATGGGCAAGCGCAGCCATGGGGACCCTCAGGTCCCACCTGCCCCCAGCACTCGGATGGGATCCGCTCAGCGTAGCCCATCCCAGGGCAGGGCTCGGCTTCCCGGGAGCTCCCCCGGGCGCTTTGTGAAGTTCAGTGGCAGCAGAGGTTTATTGGCAGCACCGAGAAAATGCCACTCGTGTCCCTGAGCGTGGGGAGATCCATGCCAGGCTGAACGTGCTGTGATGCCCCTGACGCGCTGTTCCCTGGCCTGCGCCTGGCAGAGGTGTGGAACACGCTCAGGGACAGAGCCTGAGGCCACCAAATTTGGCTCCTGGGACAACATCCTGCCTTACAGTGATCACATCCAGCACCGGCTCGTCCTCAGGGCTCTGTGGCACGGCCAGGGCTGGGAGCTCACCCACCGCGGGAGCTCGGGGCACAGCGGGGAGGTGACAGGCCAGAGGGAGGGGACAGCAGCAGGGCTGGGGGTGTCTGGCAGGGCAGGGTCCACGGGGAGGATAAGGCAGGGGAGTAGGTGATGTGAACTGGGAAGGCGTCCGTGGGTTTGAGGGGGTTGGGAGGGGTGTCAGAGGGTTCCTGGGCTGGGAAGGTCTCAGTGGGTCCCTGGGCTGGGAAGGTCTCAGTGGGTTCGGGGGGCCGGAGGGAGCTGTGAGCGGGGCGTGCCGCTGCGAGCCGGGGATGCCGCTGGGGCCGGGGCGAGAGGAGCCGCGCGGGGGCCGCTCGGTACCTTGAACTCCGCGGAGAGCTGCGGGGTGTACTGGCGGGTCCAGAGCGCCCGCACCAGGGCCGCCAGCCGCTGCGTGACCTCGGCGCGGGCGCCGCGGGCGCGGTACCGGCCCAGCGCCAGGCGCTCGGCCAGCGGCGCCGTGTTGCTCAGGCACTGCACCACGGCGTTCATGAAGCAGGTGTTGCCGTGGTTCCGCAGCCCCTGCGCGCCCGGCGGCCGCTCCCCGCCGCCCGCTCCCGCATCGCTCCCCGCGCCGCCCCCCGCCGCCGCCGCCGGGGCCGCCCCGCCGAGCCGCCGCCGAGACCCCCCCCGGAACCCGCCCTCGTCATCCTCGGGGGCGGCGCGGCGGCCCCCGCGGCCCCCGGCCAGGCGCGCCCAGGTGCGGAGCAGCCGCCCGGCCAGGCTGCCCAGCGAGCGCAGCGCCCGCCGCCGCCGCCCGGGCCCGGCCCGCGGCCGCCCCGCCGGGCTCGCCCCGCCGCCCCCCGCCCGCCGCCGCCGCCCGGGGCCGCCGCCCGGCCCCGCCGCGCTCATGGCCGCGGGCGGCCGCCGCCCTGCCCCGGCCCCGCCGGCCCCGGCCCCGCCGCGGCGCGCATGGCCCCGGGCGGGCGCTGGGCGCCGCCGGTGCCGGTGCCGGAGCGGGGCCCGGAGGGGCCGGGCGGGAGGTTTTGTGCGCGGCCGGCTCCTCCCCCGGCCGGGCTGGCTCGGGAGAGGGAGACGGGAGGAGGAGGGAGAGGGAGCGGAGGAGGCGGGGGAGCGGGGAGGTGCCGCTCGGGCGGCCGTGCCCCGGTGTCCCCAGCGTCACCCCGGTACCGCGGCACCGCCCGGCTGACCCAGCCCTCCGCGTGCCCTGTCCCTCCGCGATCCGCGGCTTTCCGGCAGCGCCGTCCCTGCTCCGCGGGAGCTGCCCGGCTGCCCTCAGCATCGCCTCGGGCTGTCCCAGCCTCACTGGGATGCCCCAGTCCTGCCTCCTCCGGCGCTCCGAGCTGGAACAGCGGCACCGCGGGCACCTCTGCCCGTCCACACTGAGCTTTGGGACATGACAGTTCCTCCGCACAGAGACACAAAACGGGAGTTTCCAGCCCAGAGCTGCCGGAGTCCAGAGGCTCTGGCCGCCTCCTGCCCACCCCGCGCTGTTTGGCACCACGCCCTGGTGTCCTCTGGGGTCAGGGAGGTGCAGCAGGACGGCAGAGGAAGGCTCAGGGGGTGCTGGCGGGTGTCACGGTCTCTCCTCCCCGCAGGGCAGGTGTCCTGGGCCGGGGTGTGAGCCCGGGGGTGGTGACAGGATGGTGACTTCCCAAGGGGCACGGGTCGGGCACGGGGCCGTGTGCTGCGCCTGGAGTGATCCCAGCCTAAATCCACCCCGTGCTGCCGATGCTGAGCAGATGGAGGGGGATCAGCCGCCCGTGGGTCCCCAGGGACGGCTCCACCGCGACTGCCCCGGGCTCAGGAGCTGCTTATCCGGAGAGGAGAGAGGATTGAGCCCGGCCGAAGTTTTCTCCCGCCCGCAGCCAGCCCCGGCTGGCACGGGATGTCCCCTAAGAGCCTGGCTGGGGTCACCCCCCGCCCCCTGCCAGCCCCCCGAGGGAGCAGCCGCCTTGCAGGGACTGCAGCTCCCACCCTGGCACCACCCCGGGCACGCAGCCTTTCCTCCGGGGGATGGGAATGGCGATGGAGCAGCCCCGCCGGGGGTGGTCCCGGCCTGCGGAGCCGCTCCAGGCCGGGGGTGCAGCGCAGGGCTCAGGGCAGCCCCTGGCCCCGCAGAGCCCCCCAGCACCGTGAGGGCTCCCGGCTCCCAGCCTGCCTGAGGAAAGCTGCTGGCAGCGCGGGGCTCTCGCTAGCCCAGGCACTCGAGGAAAGTCTGGGCTGAGCTGAAATTCCAGCTACAATCCCCCCAAGCTCAGCAGTTTGACTCCTGGCCTGGCTCTGCATCCAGTGCTGAAGCTCATTTCTCAGCATCCTCCTGGCCAGAGCCGTGAAATCCATCAGCCAATGGCGAAAATGCTCCTTTGGGAAAAACATCCCTAATAGCAGGCTCCCTGCCCTTCTGAGGATGACAAACCGTACACAGAGTGTTCCCTGGGGCGCCTGGCAGGCCCCTGGCCCTGCTCCAGCACCACCCACTGCAAAACCCGCTGCAGACCCCAGGAGATGGGAACTGGGATCCGCCGGAGCACTCCTGTGAGGACGTGGGGCTTTTCCTGGCTGCAGTCTCTGACAGGGGCAGGTTGTGCCTCGTGCAGCGTGGGAAGAATGGGTTTATCTAGAGCAGCTCCCGGCCCACCGAGGAGAAAAGCACTTGTTGTTTCTCTCTGGCCGGTTTTGGCTGCACACTCCAGCCCCGAGCATCCCACGCAAGCCAGGGCTGAGTGCAGGGGGGGGAGAGGAAGCCGGGGCAGGGCTCGTGCTGAGCCCAGGGAGCCAGAAACACAAAGCAGCTCCTTAAGGAAAGTGAGGAAAAGCCTGAAGGAAAGCGAAGGGAGCAGAGAGCCCGGAGGCAGGAGCTGAACTGAGAATTGGATCAGAACCTGGCGTTTGTTAGAGGGGGTGGAAGGGAAGGGAGAGACACAGCCAAGGGAAATGGCTCTAAAATGAGAGAGCAAAACTCAGTCATGTCAAAAACCCCAAACCTGCCAGGACTGGGAAGTACTGGGTGGTGAAAGCATCTTCCCAGGATCCTGTCAGCCCCCCCAGCTGCCCCCCGTGATGCCAGTGCAGGAAATCTGGCAGCACACGTCAGCCAACGGCTGAAAACTGAATCAGGGCCTTTCCAAGCAGGGGCAGAGGCATCCCATGGCTGTCAGTGCACAGCCCCGGCTGGAGCAGGCAGAGGTGCCCTTCCCACGGGAAACTCCTGCTCATTCCAATTTGAGGCAGTCTGCACACCGGAGTGAGCCTCAGGAATGCTCACCGTGTGAATCTGCCTTTCAGTGGCACTGTATTTGTCATCTTCCCTCTTTTTCAGGTCATTCTGAACATGATGCCTTCCTATTCAGTCTAAATCAAATATTTATCGATGCTGCAGCATCCGGCACCGCTGGGTTGCATCAGCACTTTCTGCCTAAAATGCCTTTTTTGGGATCTCCTGGCTCTCTCCAGCTCCTGCCTCTCAAGCTGCCATTTCCTGCTTCTGCTTCAGAGCAAATGTGGGGTGGGCAAAATCTGAGCGTCAAACACAAGGAAAGGATGGAAATTCTTGGTCCCTATGATGGAAAATTCCTTGTTGTTATGGCATGAGCTGCCTGGGACAGCAGACAGCCGGGATGGATAAACATGGAGGGGTTGGGTTGGATTAGGGAAACACGGGACAGGACAGCACTGGGTATGGGCATGAGCTCCTGTGCCAGGGAGGAACTTGGATTTCAGGATAAAATCCTGAATAGATCTGAGCTGAACTGACTCAGGCCCGAGAGAAATCCATTTCCACGCTGCCAAATCATTGTGATAATAATAACAGCAAAAAAAAAGAGAAACCTTCCTCCCTGCTCGCTGTGCTCTGCCCTGGGACAATGTTTGCTTTCTTTGAGCCTCTCCCGCTCTCTTGGCACGGGCTGGGAACATCTGTGCTGTGGAGTGGAAATGTGCTTTCAGCAGCCCCGTCCTGCTCCCGGCCTGGGGGCAGCTGGGCGAGCCCGGGTGGGGCTGGGAGAGCCAGGCTGGCACTGCCCCCTCCCTGCCCCTCCCTGCCCCCTCCCTGCCTGCAGCAGTTCCAGGGCTCAAGGCAGGCAGAGAAATCTCCCCCTCGAAAGCCTCCCTGCTCAGCCTCTGCAGCTGGGATTGAATTATAGATAGCAGAGCGAGTTATTTAGTGCCCCATGAAAGATGCATGGGGCCTGCCTTTTTCGGGAGCCTCTTTGAGGAGGGACAGCACCGAGGCAGGGAAATTCTGCCTCTGCAGGGCTCTGGGCGCGGGCTGATGAATAGAGCTGGCCACGCTCCGTCGGCTCGGAATGGGAGAGCAGCAGATAACCCCGAGCTGCAGAGCTGCTGCACTTTGTCCGCAGCAATCTCACTCGGGGTTAATGCATCTGTTCCCCCCCGGCTGCTCCGCTGAGCGGGGGTCTCCAGGCTCTCCCACCCTTTATCCCTGCGGGCCAGGACGGGCCGGGAGGAGCGGGGCCGGGATGCACCAGAGCTGAACAGCGCTTGTGCCTGAAACCCCCGGGCTGCCCGGGGCTCAGATGGGCTGGGGCAGCTCCGAGGGGGGGAAATCAACCCCGGCAGAGCTGCGAGCCTGGCCCAGCCCAGCCCAGCCCGGCCCAGCCCGGCAGCAGCAGCTCGGTTCACTGGGGAGATCCAAACCGGGGTAAATAAACCCAGGGCAGGGGTGCGAGCCCCTTCTGCACCTCCAAACTCTGTCCCCCGGGCAGCTGGCAGTGACAGAGCTCCTTGGGAGCCCTGGGTGGCTCTCACAGGCTCCGTGCCCTCCTCAGTGTCCCGCACGGGCACAGGGGGTGTGCCAGCCTGTCCCACATTCCCGTGGCTGGATCCTGGATCCCAAAGCCTGCAGAACCTGCTGGAGTGTTTATGGCTCAGGGCTCCAAAGGAGGAGAGGCTGGAGTGGCTGAATTCCTGTGCTGAAGCTCCATTAGTGCGAGCAGGGGGTTTTCAGGCAGAAGGAAGAGGATTTGATGGTGTTTGATGGCCAGCAGAGGGGCACAGTCCAAAGGATCCGCCCGTGTGTGCTGCAAGCAGGAAACGCTTCCAGCGACACGTGAGGGAAAACAAGCAATGACACCTCCCAGTGCCTGTCCCCTAGCAGAGCTGTCAGTGCAGGTGGAGAGATAAATCATCCCCATTAACTGAAGCATCTGAGATCCTCAGCATTAGGGGCTGCAGCCTTCTGCTGCGTTGGAATTGATGACAGAATTCTCCCAGGGCTCCAACGCCTGCGAGAGAAATCCTCCACTTGCATCAGCTCCCAGGCTGCTGCCTGCACTGATCTCTGCACAAACAGAACTTGAGAGCTGTTGCTTTTAATCCTAGATGTGATCCTGAGTTAGTAATAAGCACTTCTGCTGCGGGAATCTGGAGGCTGTTTGAAGAATCAGGCCGGGAATGCGAGTGTGCCAGGCTGGAAACTGCCCGGAAGCTTTCGCAGGGGCTGCACTCTCCAGAGCCAGGCCCTGAAGAGTTTAAATTGGACACTGCAAAAGAAGCATCCCTGGGTTCCTTTGAGAACGGGGGTTAAAAGCTTGGCTCCAAAGAGCTTCCTAGTAAATGCCAGGAGCTGGAGCTGAATTTTTCCTTAATCAGGAGCAGACAAATTAAAACAAACACAGAAGACTAAATTTACACAACAAGTCATTCATTAAAGGCAGGGCAGAAGAGGGGGAGGGAGGAGAGAGGAGTGAAAGCCAGAGAGCCTCCAAAAGGGAGCAGATCGAGCCAGGCTGTGCCAGGAGCCAGGAAAGGTGGCAGCACAGCACCAAGGGCTGGAACAACAGCCACGGTGATTCTCAGAAGGGGGGAACCCTTCACGCCGATCTGAACCAAGCAGCGAAATCCCGCTGCCCCTGAGCGAGTCAGACCCACTCTTCAGTGCTGCGGGGGATCTGCTAAATGCATGGCAGGACATACAAAAATGGAGGCTCCTCTAATTGTACAAATGCTTGAGAGTTACCTCAGCTGTAAGAAAAGGATCCCCTGGAGTGGCTGAGGGAGCGGCAGCCCCGCAGCTCTGCTCCAGCTGCTTGTGCAAATCTGGGGAATTCCAGCCCAGGCTGGCAGCACCTGGAATCTGAGAACCCCCAAATGGTTTGGGTTGGAAATTACCTTAGAGCTCATCCAGTGCCACCCCTGCCATGGCAGGGACACCTTGCACTGTCCCAGGCTGCTCCAAGCCCTGTCCAGCCTGGCCTTGGGCATTTCCAGGGATGGAGACCCCACAGCCTCTCTGTTCCAGGGCCTCACCAGCCCTGTAGTAAAGCATTTCTTCCTAATTTCTAATCAAAACCTTCCCTCTTCTGCCTAAGCCTGTTCCTCTTTCCCCACAGGCAGGGGAATCCTCAGACATCCCTTTGATTTCGGCAGGGTGGGCTAATCTCCAGGGGAACTGTGATATTACTCCTTTCCAGCTGAAGCGGGGTCGGTGCCCAGCAGAGTTCAGGGCCCGCAGCAGAAACTGGGCCAGTAACACCAAGGACTTCAAAAGGCTCTTCACCAGCATCCACTCCCCAGGTTCAGCAGCAAATCCATGGATTTAGCCACAGGCAGTGAACACGATGCCACAGCTCCCCTGGGGAGCTCCCAGAGGTGTCACAGAAGTGACAAGATGAGAGCCCGGGCTGGCTGGAGCCTGCAGGCATTGCCACTTGTTCCTGCAGCCTGCCAGGGTCCTGCAGGAGGGCACTGGGACACAGCCCTGAGAGCAGAAGAGAGGGCAGAGCTAACAGGGAAGGGCAGGGGGAAGATCCTTCCCTGTGTCACCTGCATTCCCTGTGTCCCTGCATCCCTTGTGTTCCCTGTGTCCCTGTGTTCCTTCTGTTCCCTGTGTCCCCTGTGTTCCCTGCACTCCCTGTGTCCCTGCATTCCCTGCATCCCTTGTGTTCCCTGTGTCCCCTGTGTTCCTCCTGTCCCCTGTGTTCCCTGCATTCCCTCTGTCCCTGTGTCCCCTGTGTTCTTTCTGTTCCCTGTGTCCCTGCATTCCCTGTGTCCCTTGCATTCCCTGCATTCCTTGTGTTCCCTGTGTCCCCTGCATTCCTTCAGAGTGCTCTCGCTGCCCCAGCAGCCAGGCAGCCCCATCGGTGCTGCCAGACCTCTCGTGGATGGAGCACAGAGGCTGTGTAGGAGGTTAAAAATATCTCCATTCATTATTTACTCCTTACGGCAAGAACCCGATGCTTTGAAGTGTGATTATAAATAAAAACACCATCAGAAACCCCGCCTGCCCACCCCTTCCCCTGCAGGAATATTTGCTTTTTGTCCTGCTCTGATCTCCTGTGAACTCTTCCAGCTCACCTCCTTTAAATATCTCTTAATTTTCTTTCAGTGCAAATCAACCCTTTCTGGAAATGCATTTCCAGTGGTGCATCCCCCTTTGCCTCGGCAGCCTTGGAGCTGCTCAGCTATGACGGGGATCAAAAGCAATTTTGTTGTTCATGCCTGTATTCTAGAGCTCGCAGAAATGCACGTACAGATGATTCCACGTAGGTGGAAAAGCAGGAGCATCATCACCACCCCACTAAAGTTCTGCCACTCCTTCTCAAAACACAAACAAAGGAATCTTCAGATCCGCCCGAGGCAATAAACACGTTCTGCATCTGAAGGCAGAGTTCCTTTAAGGTTGACCCGACTTGTTTGCAATAAACATCTCCCCCTCCCCCAGCAGATCTAAACCCTTTCTTTACAGATAAACTCCTCCTGGGGGGCTGTGGAATCCACGTTTGGAGTTTCATGGAGAGCCAGGGGCTCCTAATTCCCAGTGTGAGCAAGGTTTTAGGGATAAAGGGTGATGTTTGTTCCCTAAAACACAGCTTTGGAACGCCCCATCCCCGGCAGTGCCAAGGCCGGGTCGGACTCTGGGGCTTGGAGCAGTGGGAGGTGACCCTGCCATCACTGCTTTGAGGTGCCCTCCAACCCAAACAATTCTGGGATTGTATTTTGCACATAAATTACAACCAAGTGGTGAAAACAACCCCCCAGGAAGGAGGGAAGGAGGGACAGTGCCATCAGGGGGGCTGCAAGTCCCAGCTCCCCTCCAGGAGGGGAAATTCCCTCCCGGGACGCCCCAAAGCCCCTTTGGAGCAGCCAGACCCTGCCGAGCCCAGGGCAGCTCTGCTCTGCAGGGCACCAGAGCGGGCATTTCCCAAACCCACACCTGCTGCTTTTCCAAGGAAAAGCCCAAAGATGCCTATGGAATCACCCAGCTCTGCAGGGGGGAAACAAAACCAACCCTTGGCCCAGGGTTAGCAATTCCAGGGACTAAATTGTGTGGAAAGAAGGATGGATGTTTTGATAAATGCTGTGGGTTTGACTGGAAGAAAGCATCTGCAGAACCCCTCCCGTGGCACTGAAGGCTCTGCTACACCCGGAATTCCTGCCATGGGACACGAAATGTGGCTCCACGAGGAGCTGGTGACAGTGCCGTGACAAGGAGGTGTTTGCGTGCGCAGCAGGTGGGAGGGAATCACTGCACGGAGCTGGGAGAGGGAAATGGGAAGGGTGGAAATGGATCTGACAGTGGTGGGAGATAAAAACGTTCCGGGATCTTCTCCCTGGCTGCAAGGACCCGAGGGATTTCCCATTTCAAGGCTCTGGAAGCTGCACTTGGTGCGAGTGAGGGAAGAGGGCAGGGAGGAAGGCAGGGAGGGGAGAAGGGAGGAAAGGGGAGCGTTTCTCTGCTCCAGAATCCTGGCTTTGAGCAGAAATGGCTGCTTTGGGCAGTGCAGGAGGAGCTGGGGGCACTGCCCGTTACTCCCACCCCATGTCTGCTCCTGTCTCCCTTCACCCCAAATGGGCAGTGACAGAGACAGCTCCCGTGGGAATCAGGTCTGGGAGGCTCCAGCATCGTGTCCCAGCCCACGAAGGGCCTGAGCCTGGGCTGTGTGTGGGTCTGGCGTTGGAGAGAAGGATCAATCACCTGGAAATGCTGATTGTGGCGGGTGTTTTCAGGGGGTGAAGAGGGAAGTCAGATTTGTGAAATGAAATGTATCCAGGAGCAGCAGGCAGGCTCTGCTTCGCTGTTCAGGGTGGTGAAGGGAATGCAGTGATTTAAAACAAGTAGGCTTTAGTCACTTTTAGCAAAAAAAGTTGGGTTTGTTTCCCATTTTTGTCCTGACTTCACCCGAGCCGGAGCACAGTGCCCGCGCTGCCGTGGCCGGGCAGCTGCGGGCTCTGCTCCGGGCTGCTTTTCCAGCAGAGCTCCTTTTCCAGCAGGGCTGCTCCATCCCACGGCCAGGAGATGTCCCCAGCTGCCCGGGATTCCTTGGTGTAACAAAAATCAGTGAGAACTTCAGAGATCCTAAAAGCCTTCTCATTTCTTCTGTTTGTGGAAGTGCTTTGGGGAAGAGCAAGCAAAACTTTATTAAGGCAGCAAATCTGCCTCTTTAGATATTTTTATGCTATAAATTTCATTTTATATATTTTACACGTTGTCTATAAAGCTCAATAAAATGAAATCAATTAAAAACTGAGCAGCTGATTCTTGGCAAAGGGGAAAGCTGAGCCTGGCCCAGAGAGGGAGCCCTGGGCAGAGCTCAGAGCTCAGAGCAGCTCTCAGCCCTCCCTGAGCTGGGCCAGCTCTGGGCTCCAGCCGGGCTTTGGGAAAGGGGCCTGGGGTGCTGGGAAAGGGGATGGGGCTGCCAGGGAGGGCTGGGACACGGGGATGGGGCTGCCAGAGGCCCTGACACACCCCCAGGGCAGCAGAGGGCACAAGGGCCAAATCTGGGCAGAGAAGAAGTGAAGATGAATGAAAAAGAGAAGGGAATGCAAAAATTCCACGCTCTGGGCACAGTGGCCGTCCCCTGATGCCAAGGAGTTCACAGGAGCTGTCACAGTGCCGGGAGGAGCCCCTGGAGCTGTCACAATGGGTGCAGGAACATCTGGAGCTGTCACAGTGCCAGGAGTAGCACTGGAGCTCTCACAATGGTTGGGGGAGCCACAGTGCCTCTCTCCGGGACCTAGAGCCACAGGGCTTGTCCCGGTGGGCTGGAGTAGCCCCGGGGCTCGTGCAGTGCCCCGGGGCTGCCCGGGGCCGGCCAGCAGCGATGGCACACGAGGACGTGAGCTATTACCGGGGGCAGTACCGGAGCAGGCTCCTGCCTCTGCTCAGGTGAGGGATCCTGCAGCCCCCCGCTGTCTGCAGCGCCCCTTCCCTGCCCTGCAGGCTCCCGTCCCTCACCCGTTCCCCTCCCTTTCCCTTTCCCTTTCCCTTTCCCTTTCCCTTTCCCTTTCCCGTCCCTCCCTCCCGCCCTGGCTCTGCCGGGTCCCTGCAGGGAGGGCTGGGGGGCCGCGCTGCCGGGGGGTCCCCGGTGGGGCTGGGGTCCTGCCCAGGGCCGGGGCACGCCCAGCCCCGGAGCATCCCCCGGGATGCGGCGTGAGCTGGGGAACGGCGGCAGGGAGCTGCGAGCGGCGGAGGAGGACTCCAGCAACTCCTTCATCTGCGTCCTGAAGAAGATGAAGGAAGTGCGGCTGGTGGAGGAGGCCGTGCAGGAGACGGAGGAGGTGAGGGAA